TTTGATGGCAAAATATTCAGCAAACTATCGCGCATCAGTGATATAAATTTCAAAGAAAAAAAAATATTTTTTGGCAATTTTATAGCATTTTTTAAATTTCTCTATCTTAAAAAAAAAGAAAAATTCTGAATGCAAAACTCTCTATCTTACCCAAAAATTGCTTCAAACTCGATCCCTTTGGATAATTTTCTTTTGCAAAACAAGTCTTCTTAATAATTTGGATATGCTGAACACAAATCCGTCAAAATATTTAAAATCGGTCTAATAGTTTTTGAGATATCGCTCATTATGATACTAATTAAATCAATTTTATTGTCGTGTTTAACCATATAACATTGATTTTGGACCAAAACATTATAATCTGTTGCTTTTTCAACAATTTGGTTTCTTTTCCTCCATTAAATTGTATAAAATATAATATTTATTGATTTTAATTCAAATAAAAATTTTATGTTTCCATGAAAAACTCTCTATCTGTTGGTTGAATGAACATTTTCGTAGAAAAATAAGCTCTATCTGATATAAATTTGTGAATAATTTTGTAAATAATGCAAAAATTAAAATTCTTTTTATATAATGGTTTAGAAAATGGTCGTAAAAATATATTGTAAAAGAAAAAATTAAAAAATCTTCACGAACTAGCGAAATAAACAGTTTTTTTGCTCTCCTGAAAACTTGTATTATTTTAGATAGAGACTATTGAATATAGTCCCTCGACATGTCAATAAAAATAACATCAGAATCTATCGATTTTGTAATATAAAATTTTCCACAAGTATTTTCTGTTGATCAATATTTTTCAAAATTTTAAAATCTAAAACGAAATAGTTTGTAGCTCTGATGCTACCCTAATAAACGTTTAAACAAACTCTCACATATGCATATTTTCTTAATAAACAAACTTAATCAACGTTATTTAATCACAGTTAGAAACTGTATAAAATAGAAAATGTAAATAAACTTTTTTTTTTCATAATGCACCCACATTCAAACAAACACACACATACATATACATATCTATGTATACACTGAAATAAATGCATCATATACGGGTCTGTCTGCAGACTTTTTACTCTAAGAGTTAGTTTATCTACGAAAATGCACTTGTAGTAGATAAGTTATTGCTACCTTGTGGTTCAGGATGGTGGTTCCGATCGCTGGCTTACCATAATGTCCAAATGATTAACAAGTCTATAGTATCAAAATTTAAGGGTTACAATTAGTCCTTAGAGGAATACAAAAATCAATTTACGTTTTCTGTGATATTTGTGAAATTAAGCTTTTTCTTATGTTATTTTTCTGATGGGCAATAGGACATTTAATGTTGTGGGAGGATCATTTTGACACTCTTTGGTGTATTGTACCCTCCATGGACATTATTTAGGCAAGTCCTCTTCAAAAATATATAAGTTCTTATTAATAAATTTCTTAAACATTGAGGAACATATCTGTCGAGAAAAGATACATTGAATACTTTTAAAACTGCTGGGTATAGGTTTGTTGTTGAATGTATTGTGTTTTTACTGTTTAAATTTCTAAACCAATACAAACACACAAATTTATTTACGTAGATTTATTTATGTTTATGTATGTATGTACTCTCTATGTGTTTTGTAACAATAAACTTTTATCACAAGTTTTTTTTTGTTCATGATACCAAGAAAAGGATGAATGAAGAGATGCAACAGTAGTTGCTCATTCAATTGTGACCGACGCACATTGATGCTTGCACTCAGTTTTTTTTTTAATACAGTCGATGACAAATAGTAAAAAGTTAATTAAAAGTTTACTTCTATTTTATCTTGATGCAGGTGAATCTTGTACAAATTTAAGCTTAACTACTCTTTAATGCCAATTTTAGTATGAATTTAAATTAAAATTTTAGATAAATATTATATATTGCTGGTCTCTACTTTTGTTGCTTACTGTTTTAAATGCACGTAGACTTTATAAGCAATATCAATAATTAAATATTGAATATTAAGTATTCTATTAGAACAAAATACTGTGAGGGTTAAAATTTCAAATTTAATATACTTTTATGAAATTAATCAATGAGATTGCATGAGTATTGCATTTTAAAATAAGTTAATGATAGTATTTTCTTAATATAAACAATTCTTTAAATATTTTATAAAATTTGGTAAATACTAATTTATATTTAGGGACATTTCATTATTTCTAATGTCAGAGTAAATATTTCTTTCTAACAAAAACAAGTTATAACAAGTAAGAAAGTATAGTCGGGCGTGGCCGACCATATGATACCCTACGTCAGTTATGAATATTTAATGTGATTTATTTTTGTGCCAATTTTCATCCAATTATCTTGAAAATTGCGACCTGTACCTTGCGCTCAAGGTTTACATGAACAGCCAGCCAGACGGACGGACATAGCTCAGAAAACGATTCTAAGCCGATTGGTATACTTTAAGGTGGGGATAGGACGAATATTTTTGAATGTTACAAACATCAGCACAAACCCAATATACCCTCCCCACTAAAGTGGTTTAGGGTATAAAAACCTGACATAAAAATTTCAATGTGAACGAGTAAACTGAATACAAGAGTATAATGATTGATACTGGTCGAAAAAAAGTGACTATAAAATACCCATTTAGAAGAGTAGCGATACCATTTTCATCCTATGCAAGTGCAATTAATGTTTCGAATATGAGCAGTTACCCTTTACGCTCATTTTTAAAGGTTTGTGGGCTTCAATATTCAGCTCTTCAGTTAATATTTTTTGAGATTTTCTTCTTTCTTTAAAATAATGTTCTAAAATTATATATGATTACTTTAATCATTTGGAGGACCATAAATAACTGGAACAGGATCAACAAATTTTAAATGAATTGCTGACTTTCGAAGCCAACAAAACATCTTAAAGCAGATTCAACAAAAGTGAAAAAAAACACAAAAAATAAAGTCCTTAAATTAATAAATGATTGCTCAAATTGTTGCTCTACTGATGGCTGGATAAATTTAATATCCTTTTTCAGTTTACTGTGTTTTTTTTTGTTTATTTTCCAGGGAAGGAAAATATCGTTTAACACAAACAAATCTAAAACCTAATAACATACTCACCAGCACTCCAAAACAAAGTTATATTTCAAATAAATTTTGCCTTAGTATGTGCTTTCGACAATGTCTATAACTACAGGTTATAATGTTCTGTTATCCCTGCAACAAGGATGTTATATCCTTTTAATTGTTAGAATGTTCTTAACAAAGAAAAGTAATTAAGGTGGTTGCTCGCGGCTATATAAAACCTATGGATGTATGTACATTGTACAATTGTGTTTAACAGTCTCAATATGAATGTTTTTGTATTAAAGTGAAAACACTGACACCCTCGTACCCATCTTGTTGTATGAATTTTGAGAACATTTTGAAAATTTTGGCAGTGTTACAACGTTTAAGTTAATTATTTTATGGGAAAATCCCTTAAGGCTTTATATGTTTAACGTCCTGTTGCTATCTATTATGAATTGCAGACATACATACATATAATTGGGTATATCCTGTTTATGAGTGTGTAGTATTTTTATACCCTACACCACTTTAGTGGGGAGGGTATATTGGGTTTGTACTGATGTTTGAAACGCACAATAATATTGGTCCTATATCCACCTAAAAGTATACCAGTCGACTTAGAATCATTTTCTGAGTAGGATTTAGCTATGTCCGTCCATCTGTCCGTCCGTCCATCTGTAATCCTTGTAATCAAACTACAGATCGCAATTATGAAGAAACTTCAATGAAATTTGGTACATGATCTTCTATGGTCCGGGAGACGAAGCCAATTGAAAATGGTTAACATCGGTCCATGATTTCACCAGCCCCCATACAACTGAATCCCTGAATAGGGCTTGTAAACCTTGTAATCAAACTACAGGTCGCAATTTTAAAGATAATTCAATGAAGTTTGGCACATGAACTTCTATGGTACGGGAGACGAAGCCTATTGAAAATGGTACTGAAGCCGACGAATAGGGCTTTCAAGTTCATAATTATGTTTAATACAATCGTATCTCGACCAAAAGCTGCAAAACCAAGTTCCCTTCAAAATTTGACTTAAATGTCCACAATTTTATTCAACAATAAATGGCTTAAGTATATCTGAGACAAAGTGTAATTCAACTTAAATGCTTTATTATGAAAACTAAATGACATTTTATTTTTGTAACAGGTGTAGGGTATTATATGGTCGGCCTCGCCCGACTTTAATTTCTTACTTGTTGTATATTAGATTTAGTCTAACGAAAATGGTGTGGTTTAGAAGAGCGTAATATTGCGTGTTCTTAAGAATAAGTCTGCTGATTAGTCTATTAACTAGCCTATTGACTAGTCTATTGACTATTCCATTGATTAGTCTATGGACTAGTCTATTCTTCTATTCTTCTTCCTTCTTAAAATTTCATATCAACAATATTTTATTTATGTTAATTATCTCGTTGTTAAAATTCTTAGGGCCCAAATTTTATTAAATTTTTTATTGATTCAATGAATTTTTTAATTAAATGAATCAATTTTCTTGCCTAATTTTCTATTTTATTTTGGTTTATTTTCAAATAATGTTTATAATTCTTAAATATTCAATAATATTTTAGTCATGAATTAATTTGAAATTTTGGTTTAATTATTGACATTAATTGTTTTGATTATTTCTTTAACTGGAAATTTTGTTGATAGTTGCAAAACGAATTTTCAGATTTTTCCTGTGTACTTGTAATCCTAAAAAGTACTTCTTTGCAACATATCATATGTGTTGTGTAAGTATACAAAGGATATTTTTCACCTTAAACTACTAACATTTTGAATAACTAACTTTCTGAAGAATAAAATTTGGTTGTCATGACTTTTAAATAGACAAAATCAAGTTTGCAAATAAAGAAAACGGTTTAACATATAACAACTATGTTTCTTTACATTAAGTATGTTACACATTACAAAGAATAAATACTTTAGGATTTAATAAGTAAGACTTTCATACATAATTCTTTTTCAACAAAATTTATTTATTCAACAATAAAAAATTCTTAAAACTATAACAAGAAAAACATAATACTTTCGTAAATTTGCTAAACACCAAGGATGTAATAACAACTTAACCATAGTAACCACCAGCACCGCCATAAGCAGGATAACCACCATATCCACCGGGGTAACCACCGCCAAAACCACCAGGATAACCGCCATAGTTAGGTGCTGGTACAGGTACTGGGTAAGCGGGAGCAGTTGGGACTCTGTTGCCACCACCAAGACCACCAAAAAGATTACCCAATAAACCACCACCACCGCCGCCACCTCCCAATAGACCACCAAAGAGACCACCTCCTCTATTGCCGCCACCAAATAAACCTAAGATGCGATTATCGGGAGCTCCAATGGTAGCAGCAGAGGGACGTTGTGTTGAGCCAGTATAAGAGGATGGGTAGGAAGTTTGAGTGTTTCCGGCAGTGTAAGAGGGTTGGTAGGAAGTTTGGGTGTTTCCCAAAGTGGGTTGATAAGGTCTTGATTGTCCACTATATTGGCCAGTTTGTCCAGGGTAGTAACCAGCCTGACCAGCATACTGACCACTCTGGCCGGTATATTGACCAGCTTGACCTGTATATTGATATTGAGCCATTGCTACTGCCATGTACAAGACTAATAATGTCAGCTTTAATAACTATAAGGAAAAGTTTTCCATTTTTAATAAAACTTTGTTTTAAACAATTTATAAGATAGAAAAACTTACTTTATGAAACATTGCTTTTTTTAGTTTTGTTCTTTTTTTTAGTTTTCTACTTAATAGTTTAAGTGGTTTATGAAACTGTTGTCTTCTTACTGACCAACTCTTAGTTTATATACTAAAAACTTAAAATTTAAAAAACTCCCACGCCTAAAATTTAACAACAAACTAAATTTCATAGAACATTTACTTTATTGCCAATTTAAGCATTTTGCGGAAATCTAAGTTTTATCTATTTCCATTTGCGAAAAATATTCTAACAAAATGTTAATTTTGTCAAATTATTTGCTACTCCACTGACCCTCAACTCGGAAATGAACTCTGTCAATGATTTTCCCACGATTTGTTAAGCGTTGAAATAAATATTATTTAGTGGAGAGCAGTTGCTTTAAATTTGAAATGAAATATTAAAAAAATTATAAATTAAATTAACATAAATTTTGCTTTGTTTACATTTAGGCAAAGAAATACCAATAAGATTATAAAAAGAAACATTTTAAAGAAAACATTTGTTTTTATTTGGCAAAATAAAATACAAATTATTTCATTAAAACCAGTTTAGTTCAAAAGTTTATGTCGTCATTGTAGCACCATCACTATCAATATTATTTATTAGCGTTAACAGTACCAGTTGGTATCTTGTTAGTAAACAATCTTTTAGATACATGAATGAATCTTAAACTATTAGCTCGTGTTTTTGTTTTGAGTTTTATTAAAATTTAATTTTCATTTATTTTTTGGGGATTTTTATCAAAAACAAGAAAAAATCTTGCCCTCATAAAGATCATCAACATTATGATGATGTGATGATAATTATGTTGATCGTTATGTATATTAGCAGAATGGGTAACTAGTTATTAGACAATTTTAAAGATGCGTGAATAGCTGTTGGGCTATTGGCTCGTGCTTTTGTTTTAATTCTTATGTTTTTGAATTTTAATTTCTATATTGTGGGGTTTTTACCACTTTCTGGAAGTTCATAATAAAATCTTGCCTTTGATTTTTGTGGAAAGGCCCCATAATAATTAATATGTTTTTATTGGCTGGTAGTAGAGGTAATTTCGTTTGTGGTTTTGAAAGGTTTGTAAATAATTTTGAAGGTTTTTTTTATTAAAAAAGAGTTAAGATGAATCAGTGGAAATTTGAAGTGGTTTAACGACCTCGTTCAAAATTTGTTTTATAAATAAAGTGTGTTAGTGATTAAAATTAAATATTTTTATTCAATTACATATATGAATTGTTTTCAATGGCTTTGATTGATTCCTTTTATGAGCTTACTATGGTATTTTGTAAAATATTGACTTATACTATGTTTTAAGGTTTGGGTGAGGGAAAAAGTTAATTTGTTTTTTTTTTTATTTATATGTGATTCCCTTTTCATCACTATAGAGTAGAGGTTGATCTACGTTTTATACTATAATATCATATGTAACCCTATGGAAATTGCCATCCGACCTTCTAATAAAATATAAGTTCGATTTAAATTTTTTCGAAATTTCACGTTTTACAAATGTCCTTTCAAAATATGACTTTAAGGGTCATACATTCTTATACATCAAAACTAATATGTGTTTGTGTGTTCACAGCGAATACTTTATTTCTGGAAGGAACTACTTTTTGTTTGGAAATTTCTAGTAGAAATCCACAAATTTTGTAGGAATAACTTAGGTATAAATATGAACAATATTAGTGGGCGTGGCACCTCTAATATAAATTAAATACTATAGTACTTATGTGGAAAAATGATGGATCTAAAATGTCCTCAAAGTTTACACTGACGTTTGAGAAAAATGGCGTGGCACCTCCCATATTAAGTAAATAGTAAATTTCTCTATCTATGCTAGAATCGGAGCTAGAATCTTTAAATTTTGTACGAATATGATTATAATCAACATAAATATTAAGCACAGAACTAGGCAGACAAACAACAGTAGACATGACTCCTCCAATATAAATAGAATACTAACATTTGTATATCTAGGAACAGTCAAAGACCACAAGTTTTGCATGGTCGACGGTATATTTAAAGCCACGATCTCTGAATGTTGCTTTTTAACATATAAACGCATGGCAGATAATGTTGGTCTATCAAGTGTCGAAAGAAGCATTCAAGTGTCTCGGTTTATTGAAACGGTGTTAAGACATAATTCACTCCATCTGGTCTTGTTACTATTTATACCACTTATATTCGTGTTTTGGTTTTTTGAAAGGGTGTAAGATATAATTCACTCCATCTGATCTTCTTACCACTTATATCCGACCGAAAATCGAATACAACTTTCATGTATGGGCTTCGAAGTCTATTTTGGAGCTACTCGACCGCGTACAAGAGAGGTCGAAGGTCCTAATCGGTGACAGTAAGGTATCCTCTATTGATTCACTCGAGCACCGTCGCAAGTGGGGTATTCTATCATTACTATAATGGAATGTTTTCTTCAGAAATTAGGGAACTCATTATTTTTAAGCATATTTTTACGCATCATACGGCTTTCATCAAGAACACAACCATTTGTGGTCGATTGACCAGTGGACCGCACAACACATTACAGGGAAAATTCATTATTCAACCACACTGTTCGTATGTGGAACAAACTTCCTGCAGAAATATTCCCCGCCACTTTCGATGTGGAAGGGTTCAAATCAAATGTCCACAAACACTACACCCTCTATCATCCCTCCCACAACCTATTTTCGTAGGTCCAGCGCAATGCACTGCATTGTTAGGGGTCATCCCCTGAGTGCTGGTTTATGAAAAAAAAAACGGTCGTCTGTTTCCCTGTTGAATTCATAATATAGCCTTAACTAGAGGAAATTATCCCTAAAATCTTCTCTGTGTTTAATTTTTGTGTTGGAAATGGGCATGTGTACCCTCCCGTAATATTAACATACCCTTGACTTCTTAAAAAATTGCTTCAAAGTATTCAAATTGTATATAATTTGTAATACTGCGATAAAAGTGACATCCATAAGTTATATAGGTATTAACCAAAATCTATCTACCATTTGTTTAAATGGGTAAAAAATTTACCTATTACAAGTAATATGTAAAGTAAGGTAATTCCTCGTCAGCTTTTTGTAAATGACGATATTGATTATCTTTCTTCACAATATGCTGGTTTGCTATTTCAGATTTCCTGAGTTTGTTATTAAACAAGTAAGAAAGTATAGTCGGGCGTGGCCGACCCTACACCAGTTATGAATATTAAATGTGATTTATTTTTCATAATAAAGCATTTATCTTCAATATTCCCTTGTTCCGATACATTTAAGCAATTTATGGATGAAAAACTAATTTTCTGAAAGAGGCTTTATATGGGGGCTAGGGGCAAATATGGACCAAGCCCGATAAAATTTTGTGAATATATTTATATTTACATACATTTTATTGTGCTGAATTTCATCGCGATATTTGTGTTTATAAGTTAATTTGGGACATTCAAGTAATTTTCTGAAGGGGACTTTGTATGGGAGCTAGGGTCAAATGGGACCCGATCTTTATGAAATTTGGCAGGGTCATCAAGACTTCTATAAAACTTAGTTGTGCCGTATTTTATCGATATATCTATATATTTAACATAATTATGAGCTCAGAAGCCCTTTTCGGGGGGTTCTGTTCTATGGGAGCTAGGTGAAATAATGACCGATTTTAACCATTTTCAATAGGCTTCGGCATTGGGTGAAATAAAACGTGCGTGCCAAATTTCATCCAATTATCTTGAAATCGACTCAGAAAACGATTTTAAGCCGATACGTATACTTGAAGGTGGGTCTAGGACGAATATTTTTGTATGTTACAAACATCAGCCCTCATATACCCTCCCCACTGAAGTGGTGTAGGGTATAAAAAACATGTAAAGATATACGATATACGCGTTTATATTTAATGGATTCTAGATATATATAACGTTATCCAAAAATTTTCCATTACTAAACATTTTTTCTATACAAGATGTTCTCATGGAGATTATTCTAAAACTAATAATTTTTTTCTCACAAACAAGTTCTCTTCAAGTTAAGACAATTTAAAAGTTGACATCTCCAAAAGAAGCACTTAATAAAACATTTATCTAGCAAAACAAACTTTTCCTTAATGCAACAACTACTTTCGTCCAACCAAAACAAAGTGTTAATTATTTGAATTAACTATTTTTAATTAAACACCTACACATTTTAATGAAAGGTAACTCAGCGGCGAATGCATACCAGTTCTGCAAAATAGTAAATCAATCCAAAAAGAAATAACTTTTTCCCTTAAACAATAAAAACAAACATACATTAATATGTTTGGATTTTTGTATACATATTTTTTAAATGTTGATATCTATTTAAAGTGTCGATAGATTTATTTTAATTTTAGTAAAGTTTCGTAATCAAACGGAAAAAGAACAAAACTAGTGGTATGGTTATTAAATAATTAAAAATATATATTAAAAATTAAAAATAATACAAAAAAAATTAAAAGTGTTTAAAAGCATTAAAAATAAAAAAATAAGAAAAATAATAAAATGAAAGTGTTTAAAAATAAAAATAGAAAAAATATTAAAAATAATTGCATTTTTCTTAATGGTTTATTAATTGTGTTGTGGTTTTCTTCTAGATGAATTTTAAATTATCGTTTGGCGTTATAGCGCTTGTGTTGTGTTTTAACACTATAAATGCTTCATTTATAAAAAAGAAGTTTGGACATAGTGTTGGTGTACCCTATCCAGTTGGTGTTCCCTATCCTGTCCAACAACCAGTGCCAGTTCCTGTACATATTCCCGTAGAAGTTCATAAACATGTTCCCGTACCCGTACCTGTTCATACCCCTGTTCCGGTTCCCGTTCATACTCCTGTGCCTTATCCCGTAGGTGTGCCTGTAGGTGTTCCCGTACCCGTTTCGACTGGTTGGCATAAGCCTAGCCATGGCTGGCATGGTGGTTTAGGTGGAGGTTATGGTGGTGGCTTTGGCGGTGGTTTTGGCGGTGGTTATGGCGGTGGTTTGGGCGGTGGCTTCTCTTCTAGTTATGCCTCCAGTTCTAGTTATTCTTCCGGTTTCGGTGGTGGCTATGGCGGTGGTTTGGGTGGAGGTTTTGGCGGTGGCTGGCTTAAAAAATAATTTCGAGTATTTGTTTTTGTATCGTATTTATTAAATTTTTTATTATTGGTTAATATATTTTGAAAAATGATTATGAAGAATTTTTTAATTAAATTGTAGTGTTTGTTTTTCTGAGACTTTAAACGTAAAACGTTAATATTAATGCTTATCTGTACAGTGAAAAAAATAATTGAGTAATCTGTGCTCAAATCAATCCGGAGGGGTTTCTGAACGTTTTTTCTTAAACCAAGTAGAAAATACTTGATTGAAGTACGGTTTCGTTTAGTACGAAACCCTTATTTAAGACTTGGTTAAATTGATCTTACTAAGTACTTTGTAAAATTTTGAGAATTTTAGGTTTGTTTAAATCTCAAATGTTCTGAAATTTTTATGTATATTTTAGAATAAAGTGGAGAAAATTTATTAATCCCAAAATGGGCTCAATTTAAGCTCGATTCGTACTTGATTTTACAATTCATTTCAACAAAAAAGTTAGTTAAAAAATAGCAAAATTTATAATACATATTAATTACCTTTTAGACACACATATTAAAATTGTGATATCATATCATTCACACGCTTAAAAACAGATTTTCATATTAAGTTAAAAAACAAGTAAGAAATTATAGTCGGTCGAGGCCGACCATGTAATACCCCCACACCAGTTATAAAAATAAAATGAGATTTAGTTTACATAATAAAGCATTTAAGTTGAATTATTGTACTTTGCCTCAGATATTTTAAGCCATTTATTGTTGAATAAAATTGTGGTCATTTAAATCATATTTTGAAGGGGCCTTTATATAGGGGCTAGGGTCAAATGAAGCCCTATCGTTATAAAATTTATCAGGGTCATCAAGGCCTGTATAGAACTTGGTTTTGCAGCTTTTTGTCGAGATACGAGTATATTCAACATAATTATGAACTTAAACGCCTTATTCGGGTGGTTCAGTTGTATGGGGGCTAGGTGAAATAATGGAACGATGTTAACCATTTTCAATAGGCTTCGTCTCCGGTACCATAGAAGATCATGAAATTCATTGAATTATCTTCAAAATTGCGACATGTAGTTTTATTATAATGTTTACATGGACGGACGGTCAGATGGACGTACAGACGGCTACACAGACAGACGGGCGGACGGAGGGACGGACTGACGGACGGACATAACTAAACTGTGAAAATGATTCTAAGCCGATTGGTATTTTAAGGTGGGTGTAGGACTAATATTATTGTGCGTTACAAACATCAGCTCGAACCCAATATATCCTCCCCCCTAAAGTGGTGTAGGGTAAAAAAATTGCTATTGATTTATTTCATCAGTTCCGATGTTTAATTATATATAAAAATTAATATATATAGAATTGTTTAAATAATAAAATACTTCTTAATGTTTTACGAAAAGTTCATAAAGTGCTATCTTCAAAAATTGATTTTAAATTTACGACAATTGCTTGTCTTTGTTTCAAGTGTTCAAGTGATCTTCTAAAAATTTAGAGCTGTGGAACAACTTTTCTTAATAGCATCAGTTAAATATGTTTCTTCAAAAATATGATTATTCTTTCCACTTACCTATTTGGCACAACCTTAACACGATCGTCCACCAGCTCCCATGATGTTATTTTAATTGGCCAAGCAATTTGACCGAAACTCTCCTTCACCAATGCTTCCCATGCTGAGTATGAGGTTGGTGTTGATGTTGAATTATTACCGCTTGATGAATTCGAACCACTGTCTACGGTCTGCAAACGTTCGGAACGTTGTAGACGACCCTTTTTACGATGCAAAGGTGCTGTAAATGTTTGTACCAAAGGCTGGAGAGGTGGTGTATGCGGACTAGTGGCCGTAGAAGGTGATGGTGTGCGCACTAGACGTGGTGTAGCAGAATTAATAGAAGTTGTTGCTGATGCTATTGAAGGTGATGGTGCATTATTATCCTGCCATAGTTTCTCTTCATTATCCATATTTATAAAATGTTGCAGCTGTTGTTGCTGCTGCAGGTGTTGCTGTCGTAAATAGTGTTTGTATAAGTTGTTGCTTGGTTGGCTGTTACAATCTTGTCTAAATGGTTTTTCAACTAAGTTAAAATATACTGTGTTTATTTCTTAGAAGATTTTTACAAAAGTTTTATAAGCTATGGACAAAGTTTTGTAGTATTATTTCTTTGTATTTAAATGTTTAACTTGTTTAATTTTAAGTTTTCTTTTTTTTTTGTTGAGGGTTTTTGTTTAATACTTATTATTTTTTCTCTCCTACTCTACTCAGCAGCTCGTTGTGTAAATGTGTTTAATTGAAAAGCTAATTTTTAAGTCATGCTAATGTTGTAGGTTTCATTTGTTGTTGCTTTCGAAAACTTTACTCATTTTCCTTATTGCAACATTGATGCTGGCTGCTTGTCTGCTACTTTCTTATAGTTAAAAAGTTTTTCTTTTAATACTTCTTAGATTTTTAATACTTTACGTTTCACTGCCAATAAAATTATTCTGTTGAAGATGAAAAGATTTTAAGAAAATTTATTAATTTAATATAAATATGTTTGTTATTATTATTGGATTAGAGAAAAAAAAGTTTGATAAATCTTTTCTAAATACAATGTTTATTGAAATATTTATTTATGATGTTTTGCGATGCATAAAAAGTGGTTTTGTTTTCAGGGTTTTATTTATGATTTGCAAAAGTAATAAAGTTGTGGATTGTTCTTTTAACAAAATTAAAATTTTTTGATATATAATGAGGATAAGCTCTAGTTTTGCTCCCTATTTACTTAAGTCATTACCCTTTGACTTACAGAAAACATGATCTTTGTGTGAAGTGTGTATTTGTATTCAGGTTTGTGCTTCCAGTACAGCATATATTTTTATTTGGCTAAGTAAAAGTGTAAGTAGTTCCAGACAATGTAGGGACTGTAAAAGTAAAGCTATTTACAACTTCAGTCTCACTTTACTTTTAAGTTTTTTGTATGCTTGAAGTGAAATTCATTTGTATTTCTTATTTTTTGATAATTTATTCTTATCACGATTATTGTTGTAAACTTTATAGCACACTCCATTAATCAAATCAGAAATCCAAATAATATTTACTCATACACTTTGGAGAAATACATTCCAAGGACAAGAAACAGTTGGGGCTCAAAGTAGTTAATAATGGATTTCATATAGGGGTTGTGTGATAAGTTTAGCTTTAAAAAAATAATACTTATCAGCATTTTTTGTATTTAAAAAATTCCATAAAAAAGTTTAAGAGTTTTTTTTTATTTTAAGAAAAACCTTAAGGTTTCGTAATGTAGATACAAAATAAATCCTCTGTGTAGAATTTATAGATTTTTTTTGCCAAGTGAATATTACACAACCCCCATAATTTCATTTGGCAAATATTTATTCAATATTTTTGTTTTCACATTGACCTAATGAAATATATTTATGAAAATATTTTCAAAAGAGTTTTTTCCCAAAATGAAAAGCAAATGATTAGAAATGTTCTTTATGTACATACATCTTTCTAAACATACTAAGTAGAAAAGATATTTTCTACATACATTTCCAGCTGAAATCAAATCCATTTTAGCACAAATCAAATTGAAAGTCATAATAACTGACAAAATATGTGTGAGCATTTATTAGACTACAGCAAAATTGTTTGTTGAAAGAAATTTTTAATTTTGTCTCTTAAATTGTAGAATTAAGTGAAGGTAAATGCCAATTAGTTGTTTCTTAACTTCATAGCGGATATTTTTTTTTCATCCAGAAAGTTGCAAATTAGAGAAATATTGTACAGACTATATATAGATTAAACTATAGACTGTTGACTAGACTGTAGTAGGAACAAAAGACTAAGCCAAAATCTTGATAAGTTGATATCCTGTATTATACATTAAACTCTAGTCATATCGTAAACTGAACTATAGGTCAAACTATACTATACTATAGTCTGGACTATAGATTAGACTATAGTGTGGACTATAGATTAAAATATAGTGCGTACTATAGATTAAACTAAACTAGACTAAATTATAGTCTGGGCTGTAGAAAAAACCATAGTCTGGACTATAGAGTAAACTATAGTCTTATCTATAGACTAAAATATAATCTGGACTATAGACTTAACTATAGTCTCGACTATAGACTAAACAACAGTCTGGTCTGTAGTATAATCTATAGTCAAAACTATTTACTAATCTAAAGTCTGAACTACTATATATACTGAACTGTGGTCAGAACTATATACTTAACTATAGTCTGGGTTATAAACAAAAGTACAATCTGCACTATATACCAAAATATAGTCCAGGACTATAGACCAAACTATATTCCTAGAGTATAGACCAAATTATAGTTCAGAAGTATAGACCAAACAATAGTCCAGGACTATATTCCAAACTATAGTTCAAGACCATATACTAAACTATAGCCTGTACTATAACTAAACTATAGTGTGGACTATTGGCTAAACTGTAAGTTGTACTCTAAACTAGAGTCTGGGCTATACACCAAACTATAGTCCGAAATATAAACTAAAATAGTAAATATATCAATATAGTTTGAAATATATACTGAAATATAGTATGGACTATAGTTTATACTGTAAACTATAATCTGAACTAAAGTCTAAAATGTGGATAAGTTATAGCCAATCAAAGGACGAGGTAATTGCTTTAGTTCGGTTTCGGGGTTAGTTCTGATATGATGCTTCGATTCTTGCTTGTTCTATAAATGTTTTATTTGATTTTATTGTAAACAGTTTGAGAAATAAAACACTCTCCAATATGATTTGATTTGTGGAACGGTCCGTTATAGAACGTAATATTCCACAATGTTTTATCCCATACAATTCCTTAGCAGTCTAATATTAGTTTCCCCATAAAAATACTTTGCCATATCCTGTTTCCCAAACATAATTATCATTCAGTCACTCAATCAAGCAAGAAAAGCGAAAGTATGAATGTATGTAAGTTTGATAAATCTTTTGAGTGGCATTGACTTGTGGCACTTTGTTGCCAAACATTTTTAGTCAAAGAATGAAAAACACTTTTTTCTTTCTATGCTCGTTTTCAATTAAAAAGTTTTGTTCGTTTAATAATATTGATAGAAATGTTTTTTTGCTGGTAAATGGAAAAGTAAAAAAAAAAAATAAATAAAATATGATGTTATTGACAAGTCTGTCTTTGCCTTTAAATGTAATAGTTGTAATCATACCGCTAGCATTTTATTTGTGATTATGTCAATTAATCATAAAATATAAGGAATTCAGGAAAACAAGGGGATTTTTGAACAGTGTAAAGTTAAAGGTAAACTACTGGGTTGACTGGTTTCAAAATATCTTTCTATATATGTGGATATTTTCTTTTGAAAATCAAGTGGTCGTGGTGCCACGCCCACAAAATAATTATTGAAAGTTTTATATATGACTTTTATATCAGTATAAATATTTAGGAAAAATTGGGCGGTCTAGCAAAAGTGGGAGTGGCGGCTCCTATATGAATTAAATAGTTAAATCGACTATCTGCAAATCTATAACAGCTAGAGTCTTAAAACGTTGTAAGAAGAACTTTACTTCAGAAATATTTGGGATAAAAATGGGTGGTCTAGCGGTGGAAGGCGTGGCACCTCCCATATTAAGTAAATACAAGGATTCATATATGAGGGAAACGAGTAACTTTACTATCAATATCATTATATTGGTAAAAGTTGTCGTGGCACTTCTCATATGAAGTACCTAAATGCTAAAATTCATTTATTTGAAAAGCTTTAATATGGCAGCAAACTTTCTTTTCAAACCAAGAAAACATTTAATTAAAATGTATTAAATACATTAAACAAAACATCTGCATTGTCAAACAAATACCTTTCATATTTAAAATCATATTTTTCATTCATAAAGAAAACTTAATTACAGTAAAATGTGTTTCAAATGGAAATGAAAATAAAACTTTCTTAATTAAATTGCAGTAAAACTTTATATAATTTTTACATACTACATACCTAAAGACAAACAAACACAAATAAAATATTTACCATTTAAGAACTTAAATGTCCATTAAAATTTCTTGTTAAATTTTGAAATGTAAAATTTTGAAAAACAAATGTAAGAAGTTTTCAAGTGGCCGTCATTGAGTTTTGTTAAAATTCTTCTTTCAATACTGGCTGTTAAAAATTTTAACTTAAACAGCTTGGTGTTGTCTATGTCTGTGTCAACAAGTCGTTTTGTATTTCTTTAAGTGTATACTTACTGGATATTTGTGTGTCGGTGGTTGTGTGTGTAAACAAAAGGATAATGCCTTCAAATCAAGCTTTCTTTCCTTAGTACTTTTAGCCAACAATGACTCTACTTAAAAACAATGTTGTAATAAAATGGATTCTACTTCAAACTTACAACGACCGACTGCAACAATGCACAATTACAAGCATCTGTCAACGAAACAAAGCAGCAGACAATGTTGTTAAACATAGTGAAAGATGAAACAACTAAAAGATTATGGTTGGACTTACGCGACCATATGATAACCTATATTAAAAGGACCAGTATGGGAACAAGGTCTTTTAAAATTCCAATACTCAAAGGTCATGTTAATGGATGGGATTACTTCCCGGTGGTGGTCGGACATTTATTTTTAAATCTTACAAACATCACCAAAAATACATGCTGCCGTCTATAAAGGTGTAGGGTGTGGAAAAAATACAAACACGATAGGATAACAACTACAATTACTAGTTGCATTAAAACAAAACAAAGAAAAACGGCAAAAAAGAAAGAAATTGCATTGTAATTAATTCACCTTTGTTAAGGAAACCTCGGTCATTGAAAATTGTATGTATTCGAAGACAGAGTTTTATTTTTATCTCTACTATTTGAAATAAACAAAGATAAATGATAGGAAAAAACCTTGAATATTGTAGGCATCCCATAAAAGACCTTGTCCTTATATTATTATAAAACTCTAGGAAGTTTTCCAATTAAGTTATTAAGGAAGAATTTATAAGAAAGTATTCCTTATACCACACAGTACTTTACTACTATAATGTCCTTCAGTATTTTTTTTTTATGTGGTTTGATATACATTTTGCTTCGATTAAATAGATATCAGGGATAACATAACAGAAAGAACTCATGCATTTTTTATGAACTAGTTTTAAGGAAAGAAAGATACATATTATTTATTCTCGTTTTGAGATTTCAATTGGAATTGGAAATATTTAGTATTGAGATTTTATTATGCTTTTGTATGTAATAGGAATTAGAGTTTCGGTGGAATTGTAAATCATTGAAAAATATAAAAATGTACTATGATTGCATCAGATGTATTGATAAGTTCGATTTAAAATTTAAAGGAAAAACTAATTAGAGATCTTTGTTATTGCCTAATTGAAAGCTTATCTTTTTTATTAATAATTCAAAATAGGGGCCGATGCTCAACAAATTGGGAAGAGGGATGTAATTTTATATAAAGATTAGTTATGCAAAATGGTCATAAGTAAATTTTGGACGA